GTGAGAAATGTTGGAGAAATAGAATAATGGTGTGGGTAGTACCTGAAATAAAATTCAAAGTTCCCAGTTTGTGTTCTACAATACAAGTGAGAAATGTTGGAGAAATAGAATAATGGTGTGGGTAGTACCTGAAATAAAATTCAAAGTTCCTAGTTTGTGTTCTAGAATACAAGTGAGAAATGTTGGAGAAATAGAATAATGGTGTGGGTAGTACCTGAAATAAAATTCAAAGTTCCCAGTTTGTGTTCTAGAATACAAGTTCGTGAATAGAAATCTTAAAAAGTACTGAAAAAGAGACAAATGCCTACTTAGTGTAGGAGTTCCATCTTTATTAACGCCCCTTAAGAGACTTTTGTGTTAATGGATATTTTACAACAGTTATGCCCTGTGTTTTTGTACTTAACATTTTCGCTGTCAAGCTAAGGCTGCGTTAGCTTTATTTAAATCACCCAATTGAACTTTTATAGACTATTAAAAACCAAAATAATTTATTCTTAACTTAACGGGATATTAACGATTGAAGAATGAGTGTCTTTGAAATGATGTGCCATTAATCGGAGCAGGTTTTTTCAGGAGACGTGATTATGTAGAATTTATTAAGTTACTCGTTGTGAGAACAAGAAGGAAGTTTGTAACTGTGCTTAGTATAGTTAGAACAAACGGTAGTCTTCAAGATCTGTGTGTGTTACCTAGTAATCTCTTTAAACTGGCTGCTAAATGGTAGACTCCAACATCTGGCTCTTAACTAGTAGTCTCCAAAATCTGTGTGTTAATTAGTAATCTCTTTAAACTGGCTGCTAAATGGTAGACTCCAACATCTGGCTCTTAACTAGTAGTCTCCAAAATCTGTGTGTTAATTAGTAATCTCTTGAAACTGGCTGCTAAATGGTAGACTCCAACATCTGGCTCTTAACTAGTAGTCTCCAAAATCTGTGCGTTAACTAGTGATCTCTAGAAACTGGCAGCTAAATGGTAGACTCTAACACCTGGCTCTTAACTGATAGTCTCCAAAATCTGTGTGTTTCCAGAAACTGGCTGCTAACCGCTAGTCTCCAAAATCTTTGAGTTAATTAGTAATCTCCAGAAACTGGCTATTCACCGATCGTCTCCAAAATGTGAGTTAGCAAGTAATCTCCAGGAATTGTCTGTTAACTGGTAGTCTCCAAAATCTGTCTTAACTAGAAATCTCCAAAAACTTGCTGTTAACCGGCAGGATTCAAAGTCTGCATGTGAGCTATCATTCTCCAGAAACTGGCTATTAACCGCTAGTCTCCAAAATCTTTGAGTTAATTAGTAATCTCCAGAAACTGGCTCTTCACCGATCGTCTCCAAAATGTGTGTTAGCAAGTAATCTCCAGAAACTGGCTGTTAAACGGTAGGCTTCAAAATCTGTGTGTTAGCTAGCATTTTCCAGATACTGGCTATTAACCGGTAGTCTAATATGTGTGCTAGCTAGTAACCTCTAAAAACTGGCTGTTAACTGGTAATCTCTAGAATCTGATAATTCTTAAAACTGGCTGTTAACTGGTAATCTCTAGAATTTGTTTCTTACCTGATAATTCTTAAAACTGGCTATTAACCGGTAGTCTAACATGTGTACTAGCTAGTAACCTCTAAAAACTGGCTGTTAACTGGTAATCTCTAGAATCTGATTCTTAGCTGATAATTCTTAAAACTGGCTGTTAACTGGTAATCTCTAGAAACTGGCTGTTAGCTGGTAATATCCAACAAACTGTCTGTTAGCTTGTACTCATAAGGAATTATTTGTTAGCTGGTATTTCTGAAGACTGTCTGTTAGCTGGTAATCTCCAGAAACTGACTGTTATCTAGTAATCTCGCGGATTATTTGTTAGCGACAGTTTAACAAGTACATGTTAGCTCACCTGTTAGAATATCACATACAAAAAACATCCTTTAGTCATGACCTCGTTATGACACAAACACAACATTCCTTTGGAAATTTATTCCTGCAATACTAGTGACTCTTGCCCTATTTTCATACATTAAACTCGTGCTCTATTTTTTTTTGTCATCATTCTAGCTCTCCTTGTGAAGCCACATTTTCCTCATTCATCTACCGAGAAATGATCGTAAGAAAATTAACTAAACTTATAACCTATGTCTTTGAGCCATGTTAAAGTAATAAACATTTATTATTGTACTAATTCCGACCGTTTGAAATACTTTAGAGAACTTTATACAAAGATAACAACGTAATAAACGTGAGTAATGTATAGAATTGACTAACGAAAAAAGTTAAAAAAAATCCAAATCCGATATTAAACAATGCTAGATGAAGACATTAATAGTTCATGCAGTAATGATAAAAAAAATCACAGCATAAAAACAGGAGTACACCAATAAACATGCTGGTCTTTCCTTAATTTATTTATAAGCTATTTTTATTGAAAGATGGCATGCTGTTTGTCTTACCTAATTACAGAAATATTTGTAGCGGATAAAAATAGGAATAATTTAAAACAAATTGTTTTTTTTCTTTTATTTATCTTTTCGATTTTCGAGCGCTGTCCAACTTTATGAAAATTGATATCATTATGTGATCGAATAGTGGGATATGATTGTCACTCTTCTAATGCATCCACGGTCCCAAAGTGCAGAGCAAGTTTTGCAGTAACGGGACATGAACCATGATCCCTCAGATTCACATTCCGAACATGTTAACCATTAGGCCACGCCCGGTCCGTGATCGGTCAATGAGTATTTTGAGTGCTGTCTCAGAGGCCGGAGACTGATTATCTATGAAAATACTTATCAGGTTTATTTGTATTAAACGCCAGGAGAAGACAGTAATGGGTAACATTCATTAAGCAACGAAAAAATACACTTATAATTGCATTGTTTTTAGGTAGTATCATTACTTGTTGTTTCTGGCTTGGGATTGGTGTATCGAATGTGGCCCCTGGGCCCCCTGTTGAACAACGCTTGTTAACCTATAATGTAAAACTTACAACCTAAAATGGGTGAAACATTTTTCACGAGCTCCACATAGTTCAGTGTTATCACTCAACATGGCGTTGGGCACTTGTCGCTAGCCGGGCCGAGAATCACGTGTTTAATATTCACACCATCGAACGTGGGCGTTTATACGCCTGTTCACTGATAGGGCTGTGGTCAACGGCTGCATCAGCTCTCTAATGGGTAGTGATTGATGGCCAGATTATATTACTGTAGTCAACGCGGCCTTAATTTTCGTGGTTTTCTTACAGCTTATACTTTATCAATCAAACATTACAAACATAATCCCCGGGAATATAGAGGGGTAAAGGAGGGATTCCAGTTGTATACACTACTGTATATAGTTATATACATATATATAAATCTATAAGACATTCATCAATTAACGTTCAGTTGTCATAGGATCATAGTTTTTATGAAGAAAGGTGATTAGAAAGAAATAATGTTTTGTTTGAAGTACCTGCACTAAAAACCAGCCCACCAGTGGCACAGCGCTATGTCTGCGGACTTACAACGCTAGAAACCGGGTTTCGATACCCGTGGTGGGCAGAGCACAGATAGCCCATTGTGTAGCTTTGTGCTTGATTTCAAACAAACAAACAAGCTTCCATTTCCGGAATTTCTGACGTCAGTGAAGGTCGTTTTACCATCGAGCTCTAAGATGCCCTGTTGTATTTCAGGTATTTCTAATGTATGTATAGATAGTTTAAGAAGGAACTGTAGCACTTCCTTGAATCTACTCCCGTAAGTATAGTGACATTTAAAGAAGGAAAATGCAGCACTTTTTCGTCTTTACTTCCGGCATTTCTGACTTTTATGTGTCTATCATTTAGGAAGGAAGCTGTAGCACTTCCTCGAACCTACTTCCGTAAGTATAGTGACATTTAAAGAAGGAAAATGCAGCACTTTGTCGTCTCTACTTCCGGCATTTCTGACTTTTATGTCTCTGTCATTTAAGAAGAAAGCTGTAGCACTTTCTCGAATCTACTTCCGTAAGTATAGTGACATTTAAAGAAGGAAGCTGTAACAAGTCATCGATTCTGTTTCCGATACATCTGACATAAATAAGGACAACGGAACTTGCCATCGATACTTTCTTTAAACTAGCAAGTCTCTCTCCGAATCTGCTGTATTATTTTACTTCGTTGGGATTCTTACCGTGATATTCAACATAAACCTGAGAGAAAATAATTCGTTAGTCTACACTTCAAACATGTACAACTTACAGATGGTTCTGTGTTCGACTAAATTGTACAGATCTACACCACAAACATGTACAACTTACAGATGGTTCTGTGTTCGACTAAATTGTACAGATCTACACCACAAACATGTACAACTTACAGATGGTTCTGTGTTCGGCTAAAATGTAAAGATGTACAACTCACAGATGGACCTGTGTTCGGCTAAATTGTACAGATGTACACCACACACATGTACAACTCACAGATGCACCTGTGTTCGACTAAAATGTAAAGATGTACACCACACACATGTACAACTCACAGATGGACCTGTGTTCGACTAAAATGTAAAGATGTACACCACACACATGTACAACTCACAGATGGACCTGTGTTCGACTAAAATGTAAAGATGTACACCACACACATGTACAACTTACAGATGGTCCTGTGTTCGACTAAATTGTACAGATCTACACCGCACACATGTACAACTCACAGATGGACCTGTGTTCGACTAAAATGTAAAGATGTACACCACACACATGTACAACTTACAGATGGACCTGTGTTCGACTAAAATGTAAAGATGTACACCACACACATGTACAACTCACAGATGAACCTGTGTTCGACTAAAATGTAAAGATGTACACCACACACATGTACAACTCACAGATGAACCTGTGTTCGACTAAAATGTAAAGATCTACACCACACACATGTACAAATCATAGACGGACCTGTGTTCGACTAAATTGTACAGATCTACACCACAAACATGTACAACTCACAGATGGTTCTGTGTTCGACTAAAATGTAAAGATCTACACCACAAACATGTACATTGTTGGACTAAATTGTGAAGATGTACATAACAAAGATGTACAACTCACAGACGATAGTCCTTCTGGTATGTGGATATAACTAAAATCGTATGCCGTGTTTGGATTGTAATATGTAGTAATTATAAACCCATTTGTTAACTCAATAAAGTTCTTTTGAACCTTTTCTTGTTATGTCTGCCAAAGACGAGTTAAAGTGTTAAAGGCTTTTTAGTTGCATTTTATCTTGGGAGGGGAGATTTGTTACTTTTCTATTGAATACACTGAAGTTTATGTGAGGCTTCTCGAATTGGCATTTTCTCTGGAATCATCGAATTCAATATTTTTACTTCAGTTTACGATCTCGCGTGAGAAACGTGACTGTGGAACAGAGAAATGGTGTTCAACGTTATTGATAAATAGGTTAGAGCTGCTTTCACGGATTGCTTGGTTAACCTTAACTTTATAAAATATATTTTTGAAAAAAAAGGATAACAACAAAACAAACTCAACAAGCACTTTCACATTTCCATTTGAACGCATTAGCTTTACTGGGTTATTCATCTAAGCTGGTTGACGTTAGTGAAAAAGGAAATTATTTCCATTTTTTTGCTATTATCTACAAACTTTGATGCCTGCTACTTCCGTGTAGATTGTTTTTCAATAGAACTCTACATTGGGCTCCAAGATAGCAGTGAATATTGTAAATATATTTCGGCACACTAAAATCTCCTGTCTGGTTTTGTGGATAAAGTATAGACGGATGTCTGTCTGGCTACACCTGGTGTTGTGTGAAAATAAAAACTCGCTGTTAGCTATGTCACACACTGAGTATCGTTTTGTAAAGATTCGCTTGCTACGCCAGTCGTTTGTATAAACACTACGTTCATTGATGCTGGAACGATTTGTGCTGTTACATTAGTCGATACTGGACTGATTGGTGCTGCTACATTAATTTTTACTGGACAGATTGGTGCTGTTACATTAGTCGCTACTGGATTGATTGATTCTCCTACATTAATTTTTACTGGACAGATTGGTGCTGTTACATTAGTCGCTACTGGATTGATTGATTCTCCTACATTAATTTTTACTGGACAGATTGGTGCTGTTACATTAGTTTTTACTGGGCAGATTGGTGCTGTTACATTAGTTTTTACTGGGCAGATTGGTGCTGTTACATTAGTTTTTACTGGACAGATTGGTGCTGTTACATTCGTTTTTACTGGACAGATTGGTGCTGTTACATTCGTTTTTACTGGACAGATTGGTGCTGGTACATTAGTTTTACTGGACAGATTGGTGCTGTTACATTAGTTTTTACTGGGCAGATTGGTGCTGTTACATTAGTTTTTACTGGGCAGATTGGTGCTGTTACATTAGTTTTTACTGGGCAGATTGGTGCTGTTACTTCAGTTTTTACTAGACAGATTGGTGCTGTTACATTAATCGATACTCAGCCAATTGGTGCCGTTACATTAGTCGATACTGGACAGATTGATGCTGAATTTTTCTGAACAAGAAGTGAATTGTTAAATAAGTCTCGTGGGGGTTCAGTTCTTTCCCACCTTGGATTATAGGCACTTAGTCCGATTAAACATACGTTTATTTCTCTCAAGCGAACATTTTACGTGACCACCAAATATGGATATCATTCTCCAAGTGTTTAACCCTAGAATGCCAACGTTAAATTTTCAATCATTAACACCAAGTAGTATGGGGTCATAGTGTCTCCCACACTGGCGTTATAGGGTTAAGGTTTTGATTCTTGGAGGCAGGGCTAAGTAGGAGCTTCACGTGTTTAAGGTTTGGGTATCTTAAGAGGCCAGTATGTTAAATGTCTGGATGTCTTATTAACAGGTCTTAAAGGAGGTTCCTATGTTTAGTGTTTGGAGGCTTTCTAAGAGGTCTTAGAGTAAGAATATCAAGTTTAAGACTTCTGTACATCGAGAACATTCCTTACGTTATTAATACAGTGATATTAAACTGTTCCATAATGTATATTTAATATTGAAACCGGACCCCCCCCCCCCGGTGGCGCAAGGGGATGTCTGCGGATTTACACTGCTAGAAATCTGGTTTCGATACCCGTGGTGGGCAGAGTACAGATAGTCAATTATGTAGCTTTGTGCTTAACTTCAACAAACAACAATACTGAAACCTGCTGAATATGAATGGAAGAATTATATATGTAGGAAGTCTTCATCCTGTGTTTGAGTATTTCACCGTAATCTTTTGATTTTCGGGTTAACACGTAGTCAAAAAATTTGCTGTTTGTTTATAAGGCCTAGCAGTTAACATTCGGGATACGTAATGAAAGGTACAAGATTCGAACCGCTAAACCCAATCCACACTTTCAGCTGTGGGCGCGTTATAAAAGTGACAGCCAATTCAGTTATCCGATTCAAAGCCGGACAAAAATTCTTGTGGAACCAGTGCTGCAGACTGGCTGCACTTCTTCTGATAAGAAGTTCAAAATTCGGGACCGCTATACCTCAACCGTTTGAAACCAGGATTAGAGGAAGTACTCTAGAGTACACACATTTTCAAACTTATAATGCAGAGCAACGTTTCCACGTCTTGATATTTTGCTATAATCAGTGACAGACTACCTCAGGTGATCAGAAACAACTGTTCTGCCAAACTAAAGAACAACATGATAACTACACCAAGTTATTAGTAACAAATGTCTTGCCAATCTAAAGTACAATGTCATAGATTACACCAGATTATCAGTAAAAAATGTTTTGCCAAACTAAAGAGTAGAGTGACAGGCTACTCCAGGTGATTAGTAACATCTGTTCTGCCAAACTGGCGAATAGAGTGATTGATTAAGGAACCACTCTTCTGCCAAACTAAAGGACAAAGTGATAGACTACACCATGTGATCAGTAACAACTGTTCTGCCAAACTGAAGCACAACGTGATAGACTACTCCTGATGTTCTGCCAAACTAAAGAACAAAGTGATAGACTTCTCCAGAAGTTCTGCCAAACTAAAGAACAAAGTGATAGACTACACC